TTAGTACAATATTTTTCATTCATAGATTTATATGTATTAACACATTCGTCAAGATATCTTTGAGCATAAGTATAATGATTATCATTTTTATTCTTCAATATATTTTTGATATTATAAATATTATGATTAAAATACTGTAATTTTATTATATATTAAGGTTCTTCATATTTATATTTATACAAATTATAAGGACACATAAGTAAGTTTTTATCATCAATCTCTGCGTCCTCATACTGGGAAAAAATATGTCTGATAATAATTTCAGGATTATTGTAATCTTTTGTCGAATAATATACCCATTCGTATAAAAAATAGGTGCAATATTCATGAAGACTAGAAGCATTATGTTTGCTTTTTAATAATGAATTTATATTCCTTAAAAGCTTCTTACATAAGTCCCTATATTTATGATCAGCATAATGTTGGTTAAAATGATTTTCATCACATTTAGCTCTAATAGAAGGTATATCGTCACCTGCATCTATAATTTTGTTAAATTTTTTATATTCTTCCCATATATTACTAAAGTATGGATACTAAAAGTAATAATATTAAATACAAATGTAAAATTTTTTTATAGCAAATTAATAATATTTTATGTTACTTACAACAATATAATATCAAAACAATACTGTATAAATAATTTATTTATAAAACTACTAATACACCTTTTCTTTCCATTGACTAAGATCCATTATATTTAAAAGACTTATATACAAAAAATGAGTAAATTATGATGCGTTATAAATTTTTTTATATTAAATGTACAATACACAAGTTATCTTTTGTTAAATATAAATTTATGAAAAAATGAGCATAGATGTAAATAAAAAATATTCATTATTTTTCATTAGTATCAATAGGAAAACACTAATTTAACAATACCCAGGAAATATTGTAATAATTGATAATAAACTAAAAATAATACTTTACAAATATAATTTAAAGGGAAATTATTTATAATGTTTTGTTATACGCGACAAAAATACGTGGATTATTACAAAAATATAGCAATATATAATATAAGTATGAATAGGCTTGAACAGCATTATTATTCGTATAATAATTTCTTTATATCCTTTATATATATAGACTATAAAAATAATATTACTTTTAATACATATAAAAATTAAGTATCATTAATAACTGAGTTGTTTATAAACTCTAATACTTATTTAGATAGTTCATATTTTATTGTTTCATAATGAGCTCCATATTAATAGTACATATACTAAACGTATTCATTAAATAAAATCTATGCGTATATTATGTGAAATTTATAACTAAAGAACCACCTTAAATAATTAATAGTAATAGTGTGTTAATCAATAATTTATATTATATGAAATATATTTCATATCCAATTATTTTTTAAATATTGTTTTTTATTTCACAAGTAAAATATTATTTATAAATATTTTACACTTATCTATATATCTCATCATCTTCCTCCGTGAATCATTAATCAAAACTCAATAATTACTATATTTTTTCTATTATATAAAATATAAAGAAAGAAATATTGCATAAAACATATATGATATATATCTAAATAATATTGTGAATGATACTAAATATTACAGAAGTATATAAAAAATATATTCCATTTAATTTAATATATATATAGGTGTTCAAAATGATACCATGAATTTAGAATATTAGTCAATATATTACTAAATGTAAATATATATTCTTAGTAAACATCTTTAATCAAATAATATTTTATTTATTTTTCTTACAAAATGATATACCTGGAGATCTATTATGTATTATAAATTCATTTTATTTATGTTTTGTTTTAACATATTTTTTCAATATTAATATATTATATCCTTCACAATATTAAATGTTAGTAATGAAATATATAAATTCCCTTTATTATTTATATAAATATAATCTGAATTACAAATTAAACTATTTAACTATTTATAAATAATTTTTCAATGATTTTATGATACTTTTAAATTAAATATATTTTTTTAATTATTTCATGGTACTTTTCAGAAATATTGAGGGTCAACAAGGTGTAGAAAAGTAAGGTATAAAATTTTTTTAATCAGTGTATATGAATATACATATATATTATAATAACACCTTTAATTTTTTAAAATAATTGAATTAAAATGACAAATCTAATTAAAACTAAAGTATAAAACTTATATCATATATGTAACATGTAAATTAATTCAAGAAGGATAATTATTTTCTACCATTATATGACATTTATATGTTAAACAAGTATTTATAATATGATACAAATTTTAAATTTGTGTATCGAGTTCTATCAAAAATGAATAAGTATAAATAAAATTGATAAAATATTGTAAATAATATGTGAATATATCAATAAATATAAAAATGATTTGGGCATTTATTTAAAATATATACAGTATAATATTCCCTGTATAATTAAAAAAGGATTTTATGATTTACGCAATTTTAAATGTAAAGTAATCTTAATTTATACATAATTTAATTAAGTGATATAATATTCACTTGTGCTTTTAATGTATATGATAATAAAGCATTGATATCTTTTAAAATGTGCCTTGCTATATATTCTATTTATGATATGATTTATATTATCACATAAAAATTACATAATATTTTTTAAACCATAAAAAAAACAAAAAATATGTATTTTAAAAAAATTGAGTTTTTGTAAAATTATAAAAAAATGCTTTTATCATATTTCACATATTTTACCTATGATAAACTCACACTACATTTATATGCTAGCACCAATTAACAAATGAATAAATATAATAAAGGGAATATAATCAATACGTAGATCAGTAATAATATATATATATTTTAATATATTATATTATGATAAGATAAAATAATTTTAATATTTATATTCAAAGGTTAATGTAAGTTATGTAAATACTTGTTTTAATATTTCATTCTAAGGGCACCAAATTTTTTAATAATAACAAATGATATATGATAAATATTGTGTAAATTATGTGTTAATATATTAATTATTAAAAATTTATCTTTATTAAATATGTTGTCCATACAAATATTATACCTAATAACTTTTTATTTTTTTATATCTTAAGCTAAAATTATTAAGTCTTCATTTAGACTATTATGAAATGTACATTTATAATCATTGGATTCGGTATGATATATAAAACAAGATAAATATATTATTTAATATTAATGAATTATATATCATCCTTATATTTAAAAAAAGTTAAATGTATTAATTATATTGTCAAAATATTGATTTATAATATAAAAAATATGATGCATTCTAATATGCTTATAAAAATATGTATTATTATTTACTTATAGATTAATATAAATTTATATATGATTATATGCTTTTAATAACTAAAGATTTAAGTATTATACATTTTTTAATTTTTTATTCATTAATTTTAGAATAAATATATATACTATTATAACTTTTGTTCACGTACAAAACATATAGGTTTTTAGATATAATATTATTATACTTGCAACTATAGTTCCATGTATCATACATTAATACTTATTATGTTATCATTATGCTGTTTATCATATATTTTTTATAAGTATATTGATGATTAATATTGTATAATTGTGAAGCATTAATTTATTTTCTTAAATTAATAATAATATCACTATTGTACAAAATTCTCCTTCAATTACTATTATAAATATAAATTATAAAATAGATTTAACTATACATATTTCTGGTTATAATAATGATAATATATTTATAATATAATTTTTAATTGCATTATATTCGTTTAAAATATAATTATGTATTGTCATATGTAATTCCATGTTATTATTATGAAAAAAAAATGTAATTTTCTTAAGAAGCAATGTTATAGAATTAATAAATTGTATATACAAAAAAAAAATTAAAAAAATGTATCATTATGCTTAATAAATAAAAATTTGAAATATATATAAAATATTTATGTAATTTTAAAGTAGGAAAATTTTTGTGTATCATGAGAAATGCGTTTATAGCCACATTTTACATACAAGACTGAAGTGTACAACAGATAATGCTTGATTGATAAACATTTCTCCTTTAAGACATCATCAATGATTTTATAAGAACATGAACGTAATAAAATAGAACAAAATAACATAATATAACTTAAAACATAATACAGAAAATTTTAATATTAGTTTATCGACTATATGTATTATTATTATTATTATTATTATTATTATTATTNNATAAAAATTTATAAATATTACAACATTCAAGAATATTATTATAGTATATATATTATGCTGTAAGCTACATACATTTGCAATTTACTAATAAACATTGCAATGAATATTTGAATTAAATAAATATATTTGTTAATATTATTATTATAATTTTTTGTACTTTGAAGCTAAATAAAACTAAGATGATACACTTTGCTAAAAAGCATTTATATAAATTATATTATTCTTTAATTATAAGTATATATGCTTTGAAAAATATATTATGAATTCATAATGTAATATAGGTTTTTCATTATATTTTATTAAGTTTGATGATTTATTTTATTTATATTTTTAGTGTTCTCTAGCATGATGTATTAAAGTATATTTGATATAACTATATATTTATATAAATAATATATTTGTTTTATTTTTGTTTATATATTTTTTCACTTCATTTATTTATGATTATAATAAAAAAAAATTATTCATGAGAAATAGCTTAGCATTAATACTATTATCATATTAAATTTAAATATCTCTATTTTTAGTTTTTTCTTTATATAATCTAACAATTATCTAATCTTATTGTTTGGTTTTTAACTACTTATATTTTTTTATAATAAATATAATTATTATACTATATATTATAATTTTTCGATTATTATAAATGAGTTTCATATTATTGCATAGTAATTCTTGCATATTTGTGTTATTTGAGTTTTTCTTAAGTAGTTTCTCTTATATATTTTATTTCTGAAAAGATGTATACATTTATATTTATATTATTAAACAAAATAATTATTTTTATTTCATATGTGTTCGCTATATAATTATTAGAAATTTAATGATTTATATGCTATAAGGTTATTGTCATGAATAAGATTTTTGTATGTTCTTTCAAATGAATCCATTAATTTGTCATAATTTTTACTATATTTACTCATTAATCCCTTTAAATTATTTAGCACAGACACTATATATGATCCATAAACACTATACTGAAAAAAAAAAAATAATGTATATTTTTTATGTAGGTAATTTGTTTGATACAATAATGTGCAACTTATATTTCCTAAATTTAATTTATTATTAACCTTATATAATATAAATAAAATTATTGATATGCAAGCCATTACAGCTAATGCAGCTAAAAATATCTTGTGTGAATAGCTTGAATAATAGGAATATGAGGTTTTGGAATATCTTTGCAGTGCATCGTGTCTATATATATATCATCTTCTGTTTCAAAATTTTCCAGGACGTCACGGAAACTCTTAATATTCAATTTTTGATTTGTTCGAAAGATATCGCTATATTTTTCAAAACATTTAGTATCATATTCACATTCACCTTTTTCATCTTTTAATTTATCAAAATTAAAATATAGGTCATTTAAATTTTTCATTACGTAAAATATACCTTCATCAAGATCTTCAATATGATCACTGCATGTATAGAATACGTTATTATATTCATATTCTTCCACGTTTTTCATTATTTGATAAAACTTTTTTCTTTGCAAAGCAGATATTTCATTAGATTTTAGTATATCATTTAGTTCATAGCTGAAATATTTACAGCATGCATTAATATGCTCAGTTCCGTTTTCTTTAATATATTTTAAATAGATACCTATATATTTACAATAATGAATAAATTTTGTGTTCGTAGTTACCTTTTTATTATCTATTATCGTAAAAACAATAGTATATGAATTTGATAAATCATCTGATATAGTATATCTTACAGTGTCAAATGACCATGCAAGTGGGGATGATATAACTTAAATCAAACTAAAAAGGTAGGTTAGAGATATGAAAAAAATTTTAATTAAAGCTATAATGTATAAGTATTACTTATCATCGTCACATATGACAGTATTAAAAAATTAGTAACATCAATTATAGTTATTATAATAACATGTAAAAGCATTCATGACTGTTTACCATTATGTTGGTATACTTTATATTTAATATATTTAAATATATACAAAATAATTTTTTTTTTTGATAAACAATTATATGAAAAAAATGACAAAATAAATTTTATGAATATAAGATATATATGTATAACTATAATTATATAATTTACAGAATTGATTGAAATCATTATTTTCATTAAAAATTCTTATGTATATTCTAAGGTATAATTATACATCAGAGTGAATGTAACATTTAATAATATAATCATATAATATGAGAAATATATTTAGGAATTTTATATAATATAATAACCTTAAAATAAGAACATTACAGCTGATATGTTCATATATATAACGTTGATACACATTCGAAGTTATTCTCTATAGATGAATAAGTGTTTTATACATATTGTTGATAATTTCCCCTAATATATTTAATGCATATTTTTGATTTCTTTTAAAATCTCAAATAAGTACATCAATTTATAACATACATAGCGTTATTATTTACATTATATTTAATTATTTGATCGTATTCTTTTTATTAGTATTTATAATCACGTATTTGGTTCTCAAGGTATATAGTGCATTTGTGAAATGATATAAGCATATATGAATTATAAAAAAAAAGCATATTGTTACAGGAGAATAAAATGTTTACAAATAATTATACTTTTAACGAATAATTTATATTTTATTCTAATTTTTGTTAATTAGAGTGTAAATATTACTTTCATAAAAACATTTATCAATTATATACTTCATATAAAACTTTATTTTTTATATTTTTTACAGAACACATTAATAATTTTCGTCTTTTACTATAATCATACATTATATTTCTAGTTTACACTTTTTTTATTACACAAATATAATTCAAAATATACGGTTAGAACAAAATTTATTATGCAATAAAAAAATTCATAAAATTATTTTTTCCATTTGAAACATATTAGAAGAGTTATAAAAAATAAACTTTTACTGAATGAGGAAAACTTAGAATCAAGCATAAACAAATGAAATTAAAGGATAGCTTAAGAACTTATATAGATAATAGTAAAACAAAAAAAAATGAAAGAAAAGATGTATAAAAATTTTTTAAATTAAAGTGTGCAAAAGAAAGCACTTATCGAAATTATAAAATTTTCTTGAATGAAAAATATAATTTAAACATTGGATAGGAAAAAAATATATTCGTTATAAAAACAATTAGAATTAATGGAAAAATTTGTTGAAAAAATATTATTAGATAAT